TAGTTATATTTATAATTTTTTAATAATGTTGTTTAATGACAGACGGTGCATTTATGTACACTTAGTCACAATTCCTGACCCTCGAACCACTTTTAACTGAAAATACGTTAGATGCTCGATTGAAATTTCAAGACTGAGTCTAAAAAAGTAATACTGATTTCTTTCCTTCCTTGGTTTTTCTTCTGTTTTTCTATTCTTCTGTTTTTCTTTTCTTCGCCTTTTTCATTTAATAAATCTTGTTTGTAATATAATCGAGCATAGATAATTGCGTGCACGGACGGTCGAAGCCAAGAGAATGCCAAAAACCAAAAAGAGATCCTTTCGTTAATAGACGAGTACATCCGTTATCGTATAGTATGTATAATACTTGTATAGTTTTCTAAATAGAATTTTACGCTCTACCATGTCGAACAGCGATAGAACGACCACACTATACCGAAGTGTACAATGAAAATTTCGAAATATAGACGATACATATATAAACGAGCACATGCTTATTGTCCTCATAGTAGACTACTTGGAACTTTTTGTAAATGTTTGAATCCGCGCGTAATACACGCGTCGAAAGAGTTTATCAAAAAGGATGCGCTGCTGCAAAGATGATGATAACGATGGAGAATCGTCAAGGTGTGTTTTTGGCATTGATTTGGCGTGCTCTGTGCGCCGGGAACGTTTAATTTTACATTAAGTTTCGTTGACCCCTTAATTAAGAGTTTCTAGATTCTCCGATTTTCTAAGCTATGCATTCCGACAGAGTGCAGGCAGCACACTACTACACGTTAGAAACGAGTTTGATCTCGGGCGGGAAGCGAGTGTTGTACTCTACTACTCTCGGTTTCGATGTAAACCGAGTCAGGAATGATCCAAGTTGGGAGAAAATTGTGATGGTAGCTTAGTAGCCGGGAAAATCGTAAAAGTAGTCGAGGTAGAAGCCTACAATGGAACTTTGTACACGAGGGCATCGAGGGCTCTGGGGAACAGTACGCAAATCCGACATACAGTGCTTCTAGTTAGTTAAATTATTTCTCATAGAAACCTGCACGACACTTTTGTGCATTTTAATTGAATATAGGCACCGTTTCCTTTCATTCTTCCTTCATTCAAACCCAGTCGCGTTTCTTCACATCTTCTTCTTCTTCGTCCTCCCTCCTCCTCCTCCTCCTCCTCCTCCGTCGTCTTCTTTTTCTTCTAATGGCATCGCTTACACCCTAACCTTAGTTGCAACAATCGGCTTACGAGCTACTTAAAATTACAGTAGGTAATGAGAAGATCCCTATCGTGCGTGTAATGGGTTCAGCATGAATAAAATTGTCGATTTGGCAGTATGGTAATTTTCTCGTCTTTTTGTTAGCTTTCTCTCTTCAAGCATATTGCCGAGATTTTTGCAAGTATCTTCCGTGTCGCGTCGATAAGTACTTTTGAAACGTGCCACGCGTTCTTTCTTTTCGACTTTTAGTTCCCTGACGAAGGGGATTTTGCGCCCGTATCCGCTCGTTCTCAGACACTACGTTTCCCACTAATATGGAAGCACTGTTCTCCAACGAATAGGAAAGTTTTGATCGTTCGACGAACGTAGCAGAACCAAGTATCGCGTGCTTACGTCGCTGTCAGATCGCGCGGCACACGACCGCAAAATAATAATCCTCGTCAGTTTCCCTTTTCTTTCTTCTTTTTTCTCTTCTACGGCAGAAGGGCGTAATCGCAAGGTGGCCCCGAATTGTCATCGAGTTGGATATGTCTCAGTGATCGAACATTCGATTACACGATCTTTTCCTCGATATTGCCTCTTCGACTCCTGGCTCGAAAAGTTAGTCCGAGCTCTTTTATTCCCTGTGCGTGTGGCTCTATAGTTTGTTATTTGTTGTTGTTCCGTTTGAACTGTAAACGAAGTTTCGGTAAATAATATTTCTACAGATATGATTGTTTTCCTACGATTCTGAGCCGTAGATTTGGTAAACGGCACTCTTGTCCCTTCGATAAAAGTTCAGTTCGGCATATGTATTATATTAGGATGCCGTTAAAAACGAAAGGTTTCCGCGTTCCAAGACCCCGAGACCGCTGCAACAACACCATTCGCAATAAGATACTTGGCTACTACGCGTTTCGTTAGTTGCCCGACAAGTAAACAATTTCTCGCCCTCTCCTACTGCAGTACCTATTTGCCCGGTGGAAGGGCCTATTTACCGTGGTGTAGGCTACATACTTGGAAACTTAGATACTCTTGGAGTACTTTACGGCACTAGACGCGCCGCACTTTTGCCCGGTCACCGACCTCTCCTCGCTCGTTTCTCTGCCGATCTCTTCTGTCCTCGCGGGTGTCGGGTTGTCAGTTGGCGTAATGATCGAACGAACCGAGATATTCCAAACTGGCACGATAGCAGAATTGATATTGGTCCTTGGAGGAAAGGAAAATTAGCGGTCGGTCGTAGTAGAAAGGAAGGGGTATAGAGAAGAATACAAACCTCGGTTTGAACCATGGCTGGCCGTTGAGTTCGCAATATTCTGACCGTCTGGAAGATGTCGACCACTCCCTCGTACTGCATACGCTCCAAGACGATGCTGAGCGTGATGAAAACTCCGGTTCTTCCAACGCCTGCGCTACAGTGCACGGTTATCGGCCCGTCTTGACCAAATTGTTCCTTGGTTTTGTGCACCTGCCCGATGAAATCGATGAATCCGTCGCCGGATTTCGGTACACCCTGTTCGGGCCAGTCGATGAACTGGAATTGTCTGACCGTACGGCTCGCTCCGTCCCGCGCGTCCGTCACTTTGAACTCTCTCAAGATGTACTGGGGCATGTTGTACTCGGCGATGGGATCGACGACGAAACACTGGTAACGGATCGACCTGTCGGACGGCCAGTACTGATGGCACTTCTCCCTACCCATTTCTTTCAATTTCGTCAACATGACCACGATCGTGGAGTTATGCTCCCAAAGCATACGCCAGAAATCGTCGGTGGTGTCGCAGAGGGGTCCCTGTGTCGCGATGTAAGCACCTCGATACCGATATCCGTCGATCAGGCTGGCGTTTATGTAGTCGGACCCTTCGATGTTGCGTTGAGGCTGCAGGCATACTCTGGTACACTCGTACGGCAAAATGTGGACCAGTCGATTTTTGTGCTTGTTGCAAGGAAGATTGGCGGAGATGAATCGCGACGAGTCCACCTTGATGTTGGACAATTTCTTGAACTCGAGCTCCATCCCGGTGATATTGTCCAGCTCCGGCTGCATCAGTTTCTGAATGTGAGAGTGCAAATTTCTGGCCGGCACCTCGGTACTTCCGCAAATCACCGCTTCGTAAAGTGCGTCGTGAATGAATATGTACTGATCCTCGGTTTGGACCATGTAGTTCCTTTGAGCGCGTAGACAGGTCACGTGGCCGTATATGTCGATCATTTTCTCGTGCTTGATCCTCTCGAGCATCGAGTCGATGACGATGAAACAACCGGTTCTTCCAACGCCGGCGCTACAGTGGACGATCAGCGGTCCGCTGTCCGGAGGATTGAGGGATCTGACTCTGCGCAGGAACTGCAAGAACGGAGCGGGATGTTCGGGCACACCGTGGTCCGGCCAGGCTGTGAATTGCAACTGTTTTATCTCCCGTCTTTCCGAATAGCCAGCTCGAGATATCTGGAAGGTACGGATGCAGTAGGTGGCCAATTCTTGCATATCGGTGATGGTGACTGTCATTAAACCGTAAGTCTCGGACCCTCTGCTCGGCCAATACTGATCGCACTTTATCCTCGTTCTCTCCTCCAGTTTCGTCATCATCACGATCGTGCTGGACTTGAGTTCCCAACACATTCGCCAGAAATCGCCGAAGGTCTCCTGAAGCGGGCCCTGCGTGGCTACGTACGCGTTCTGCTTTCTGTAGCCGTCGCAGTAATTCGCGTTTATGTAGTCTGTGCCAGATATGCCGTCGATCGTTTGTAGAATTACCCTGGAATGATCGTACGCGATCACGTTCGCGTATCGATTCTTCGAGGCGTTTATCTCCATGTTGGAATGGTCCCATGTGAATTGTTGTCCGGGCTCTATCGATTCGTATTCTTGACTGAATTTCAGATTGTCGCCCTCTTTCAGACGGTCGATGTGATGTCCCAGTTCGCTGATGGGGATCGGAGGATGAGAAGCCATGCCGGGCGTTTGGAAGTTTAGACGGCGCATCTCCACCGGATCGGACGGCGCGTGATTCGAGCTAATGTCAGCAGCCATCAGCGGTCTAGTCACAGCCGCTTGATCGGGAGCTTTGCAGGGTTGCCTACGTCTACGAAATATTATGCCCCGTTAAGTCGAAATTGTTATCGACAACCGTGTACCGATAACGGTAAAAGTGGTAACTCACTTTTTGATTACGAAGAGAAGCACGAGGAATACGCTGACCATCAACGCCGCTATTATCGGTCCGACCACCCACACCATACCCGGCTCTTGCCCGCTGGTTTTTACCGAAACTTCCGGATTTCCGTCGACCGGGGTATTCGGATTGGGACGTCGAGGCGGTTCACCGGGCGGCACTTCTCTCATATCGAGGGACAAGTACTCGGAGAAGGGCGACGAAGTGTACAAGTGCTAGGGCGAGATGAAACGAAATTGTTTAGAGTTGAATTGAAAAAGGAAGGTGAACTTACCTTTCTCGGTGTGTCTACGACCGCTCGAACGAAAATCCGGTATCGTTTGTTCTTCTCGAGCTTGCGATTCTCGTAACCTTCGTAGATGTCTCCGTTGCCAAGATGGAAGGTATAGGGTATATCTCTGTGGGAGAATTTCGCGGCGATGTACGGAGCGTTGTCCTTCTCCTGCTTGGTTCCCTTGCCCGCAATCATGTCCTCGGTTAATTCGTCGGGCTGCTTGTTCGCCGTCGATTTATCTTCGGGCACGACGATCAAGTAGTAGTGGGAAATTGGCCCGTACTCTTCGGAAGCCTGGGGTAAGATCACTTGAATCTCCTCGCCGTTCACCACGCCGTAGAAGTCCGGCTTGACCATGGGCTTCGGGGCGGCCATTTGAGTGGTGACCGTAATTTTAGCCGGTGGCCTGTACTGACTGTCCCGCGGCACCGCGCTCACGTTCACGTTGTACGTGGTGAACGGTTGTAGCTCGTTTATCGTGGTAGTGGTTACGCTAGGATCCAACAGAATCTGTCTACGCGGAACCATCTGGGTTTGCGTGATACCCTGCGAATCGACGAACTCTTTGACAGCGTCGAAAGAGACTTTGTAGTGCATAGGGTTCAGTCTTATCGGCGGTCTCCAAGAGAGAGTCATCGAGTGAGTGGAGGAGTCCGGTGCTCTTAGATTCAACGGTACGTCCTCGGGCTTCACTTTAACCGTCACTTTCTCGCTCAGTCTTGCCAGGCCGTTTTTATATCTGGCCGCAACTGTGATCGCGTACTGAGTAAACTTCTCCAAGTTGACCAGATCGGCAGACTCGGTTAGACCGACGGTCTTTTGTTTCCACTCGTCCAGATCTTCGACCGCGGTGGTCGTGTAAAATATTTGATAACCGATGATCTTGCCACGATTCGGCACCGGCTCCCACCAGACTTCCACGCTCGTGTCCGACGTGGCCACAGCTTTCACGGACATCGGTGCCCGGCCGATGTCTTTCTCCGTTACGATCGTGATCTTCTCCGAGTACGGACCGCTGCCTTTCGACGTGTGCGCCCTCACGTGAAACACGTACTCGGTATTTTCCTCCAGGTTTGTGAAAACAGCCCTAGTCTTGGTCGTGTTCCTGTCCACGGTCGTCGAGTGATCGTTCTTCTTGTTGAACTGAACGTCGTACCCGATTATCTGACCGTTCCTATGCTGTCGCAGCGGCCTGTCCCAGGTCACGCACACCGTGTCGGGAGTTTGGAAAAAGTAGGACAAATTCGTCGGGGGACCGGTCGGCTCTCCTTCGGGACTGAACCAGTACCGTACCGTCTCCTGCCCGAAGCCGATCGCGTTTTGCCCAGCTACCCTGAACTCGTAGTCTACGCCCCGTTCTTCTGCGATTATTCAACGGAACAACGATCGAGAGTTATCGCGATGAAATTCTGACCAAACATACCGAGTGACATACCGAGATCCGTGATCCTGTAGGTGTGCTGGCGAGTTCCTTGGATGAATTCTTCCCTCAGCGTTTGATTTTTAATCCCGTACCTAATCCTGTAGCCGAGTAGCTCGCCGTAAGTTTGCGTCGGTTGCACCCAATCGAGTTCGAGCATGTCGCGATCTTTGTTCAAAACTCTGAAAACCAGGGAGTTTTGCTTTTGAAAACTGCTTTTGAGGCACCGGTTTGCCGGTGGCGAACGTACTTTACGTTTACTTGAGGCCTGTTTGGTACACCTCCGGGAGTTCTCACGTGCATTGGCGCGGAACGATCGCCGTCGCCTTTTCTCGTCACAGCAGCTACTTGGACCGAGTATCTGGTGTCGGGTTGTAAACCGGTAATATTCATTTCCAACACACCGTCCTCTTGCACGCGTCGTATCGGTTCGTTCAACAGATCCTTTCCCTAAAGAAAGGGGAAAAGGTGAGAAGTCGTCACTCTCGCGTTACCTGCCCGCGCTCTTTCCTTCTGCTCGATCGACTCACCTCCTCCCTCACTTCGTGCACGTGTACATGATAGCCCCTAATCACGCCGTTCTGTTCTTTCGATTTCGGAGGTTTCCATTCGACGTGTAGCGCGGTAGAATTGATCGGCGTCACTTTAACGTCTTGAGGATCTCCCGGCACTGGAACGCAACGGTCGGTTAATTCCTGCACTTGACGCTCGATGGTATGTCACGCTCACAGTCGCACGCTCATCTACACATTCTCGCAATCACGCGTGAAAGGGGATCAAATAATAATGGTAACGAGAGAGAAAAACCTGAAAAAATAAACGGTGCAAGGGGTTTGGCGTCGAACTTGTCCGTCCGATCCATCAAAAGAAGCGTGACAGAAAAATACGTCTGCTTTCTCTATCGATCATTTCGACGAAACGAAATCTACAAGTTTGAAAAAAACGGCAGCGATGCAGAAACACAACATAACGATCGATCTTTGTCTCGGTTTAATCGGTAACAGTCCGTTCGTCGTTGGTCGTTCCGTCTGACGAAGAGGGGGAGGAGCGCGTAGCGAGACGAATGTCCAAATCAAAGCGTCGTACGGCAATTAAAAGATCGAAGGTGTAACGAAACGATAGAGAAAAAGAGGAGAGACGAAGGAAGAAACCAACGAAAACAAGTCCGTAGAGGGACGAGAGAGCGCGAGAGCGCGCGAGAGAGAGAGAGAGAGAGTGAGAGTGAGAGCGAGAGAGAGAGAGAGAGAGAGAGAGAGAGAGAGAGAGAGAGAGAAAAAAAAAAA